TGTTTTGGAAAAATAAATCTATTTGTGATCCCGTAGGAGTTATTTCTCACATGTTCCTTATGAAAAGCAATATAACGGGGAATATATTTTCAGAGACTTTGAAATGCATGATGTCCAAGTTCCCATCTTGGCATTTAGTTCGCTGAAGGTTTTAAAATTTTGTACAACATATCGAGGTCCTGAGACATAGTAGGCCTTTGACGAATATCTATCACATCAATTAACTTTTTATTTATGAGATGGGAACTTCTAAGGCTTATAATTTAACTCATTTACATACTACTTAAATTGACCCCGACCCTCTCTCATCTCTGGTCTTTTGGACACTCCTGCCCAGTGCTCTCACCCCTCCATCCTCAGCTTTTTCTGACTTCTCACCAGCTGTACAACCAAGTACGGCCACGTTCAGTGACTGGCTACAAGGATAATTCAGGAACACAAGCCTTCCTAATGCAATCTGATTCGAGGTACTATACTCATTGCTAGGAAGTTTTTTTTCAATTTTTATTTCAGGATATTATGAAGGTACAAACACTTTGGTTACATTTTATGTCTTTGCCTCACCCAAGCGAGGATTAGAGGCAAGCCCTTCCCCTCTATAATGCTCACCACGTCCAAAAGTTGTGAGTTTACCCCCCTCCCCCGCTAGGAAATCATGAATAATAATATATTAATTTTTACCAGAATATTCAAATCGTGCCCTCTTTCCTATTATATCTCATGGGGAAGGGTGGGGTGGTGGGTGCTAGAGAGAGTAAGATAAAAAGATGGGAAAATCAAGAGTAATTACAAATTTGATACCATTTTTATGATAGAATATTGCAGAAATTTCTAAACGTTATGTTTGTTTCCTTCTCGTTCCCTTTTTGAAAGTCAAATCTTTCTAATTGTAGGAGATAAACCTCACTTGAGACTTTATAGTTTTTACTAAGAAGCCTGGGAGGGTCATTGTACCACAGTGTGAATTTGTTCCCTCTCCGAGCCTCAACCGCTGGGTTTTCTGTGTGCCTGGGAGAGGTTGGCTTTGGGGCTTGAACCTGAGTTTCCTTGGGTAAAGGACTAATTCGACCGTAAGACTGCCTTTTCTTATTGCAACCAATGTTAGCTCCTGATTTTCCATTAGAAACCCTAAGAGTCTCCCTGACTCTCGTGGTAGTTATGAGTGACGATTCCAGAATCAGATAAAATAAAGTTTACATCCAGCTTTGCTACTTCCTGTAACTAAAGAATGCAAATTATTTAGCTTTGCTGAGGTTCAGTTTCTCCACTTACTGTACAAGGATAATAACACCTACTTCAAGGGATTACTGCCCAGATCGAATGAAATAATGCAATATGGTTGGTATGGTTCTTGGTAAACAGCAAATATTCAATAAAAACAACTATTACTATTTGCTATACCATCTATTCATTTATTAAAATAGCTATTTTAGTAAAACAATTATGTCCCTATTTGAAATAGGTTTTGTCTTCCCTGGTGCCTGGGTCATTCTTTGCCAACACCTGACTACAGAGTTTAAATTTTTCTAGGTTTGTAGGCCAAATCCATTAGAGAGAAGAAAGCTGAGAAGTTAGACTTTTCCAGGAAGGTGGAAGTGTTTTAAATCAGTTCCTTGGATTCAACTGATTCCAACTGTATATTTCCAGTCCTACTGCTGAACTGTAGTGACTTAAATAGTTTCAATTCTCTGTCTTAGCATTTCTGTCCTGGCTTTTTTTTCTTTTTTTGAGACAGAGTCTCACTGTGTTGCCCGGGCTACAATGCCAGTGGTGTCATCCTAGCTCACAGCAACCTCAAACTCCTGGGCTCAAGCGATCCTCCTGCCTCAGCCTCC